TGCCCAAAGGGATTTGCTGAGTCTCTGTCCGAGGTTCCAAACCAGTGTCTCCAACGTCTGGCTTCTCTGGGCAGCTTCAGAGCCCAAGATCTGGCTGGGCCTCTGACCTAGCTGCCGGCTTCCTTCCCACTGCGAACCTTTTTCCCCAGATGGGAAAACCAACCTCAGGGAGCATCCAGAGGAAATGCCTCGAGGGAACGTCACTGAGGGGGGCAGGAGCCTGGCTTCTAAGCCCCCAAATCTGCAACCAACAAGTGTGGCCTTGGGCGAGTTGCTTAACCACTCTGTGCCTCTCCTTTCTCATCTCCAAAATGCGGAGACAATAGAGCAGTGTAAGGGCAGGTGGGTCCTGACATCGGGCGACTTGATTTTGAATCTCCGTTCCACCACCTGTCTGCAGTAGCTACTTAGATTTTTGGCCATGGCCCAATTATACAAACTGTGTGAAGGGTGAAATGGATAATAACAGTGTCTACTTGGGGCGCCCAGCTGGCTCAGTCGGGAGAGCATGCGACTTTGGATCTCGGGGTCATGAGTTTGAGCCCCATACGGGGGATAGACTTAGAATAAAAAACAAAAACAAACAGTGTCTACCTCATAGAGTTGTTGTGTTAAGATACCTGTTTTATACTTAATATATATCTTTATATACTTTAGGACAATTCCCGGCACCTAGTAAGTGAGTTATTATTATTGTAATGTTTGCCTTTTTTAAAATAATAAAAGGCTGCTCTCCAGGCCTCCCGGGGTTTTGGTGAGGATCCCCTGACATCTTGAATAAAAAAGCAGGGAGGAATTCGGTAGGTAGCTGGTCTTTTTGACCTTTTTTGTTTTCAAATCTGACAGGAAATTCCTTCCTTCTCCAGCGATGCCTGCCACCCAGCCACGCGCCCCAGCTGACTGCTTTCCATGACAAAAGGCAAGGCCATGTTGGTGACCGGTTCTCTGCCCCAGAAACCAGCAAATCCCTGCCTCAGGTAAACCACTGGGAGTTTCTTCTTCATTAACAATCTCAGGGTTTTGCTACTACAGCAGCTAAAGAAAACAAAAAACCAGTTAGATGCTGCACACTTAGCCTCTCTCCAAGTTTTGGGTGGTTGCAGGGAGGAAGAGGAGCACAGTTTCAGTGACATTCCTCATGGCCCGACCTTGACCCAGTTTGCCCTGGGACTTGACAGTGCCCTGGGAGCTGGAGAAGTTGGGGTGCAAAGGCTCATAGTTCTCGAAGCCTCTGGGTGCCCCCTTTCCTAGTAAATTTAAGAATGGGATAAAATGGGGGGCACCTAGGTGCCTCAGTTGGTGAAGCGTCCAGCTCTTGATCTTAGCTCAGGTCTTGATCTCAGGTCTGTGAGTTCAAGCCCCGCCTTGGGCTTTGTGCTGGGTGTGGAGCCTACTTAAAAAAAAAAAAAAAAAAATGGGATAAAGGTTCTCAAAGTACTTAGAAGGAAACCTAAATCCGGTTTCTTGGTTTTTAAAATTCTTCTCTGCCCCGTCTTATTCTGGAAGGTACGTGAGATTCCAGAAGGCTTGGAAAGCACATGCTTTCAGTTATACGTGTGCCCAAAGGGCCTCGGCCTGGGCTGCAGCTCGCCATCAGCCCCCGGTCCCCTGGCCAACCCAGAGAATGAAGGACACTCCTGTAGATCCCACATCTTTCCCTCTGCACTGTCCCGAACAACGGGAAGTGCAATCTAGCTCAGATCCAGAATTTCTGACCTGGTTCCCAGGCAGAATGTGTCACAGATGCAGGAAATCAGTGCCAGTTGGGGGGCGCTGGTGCAGACTTTGACCTGGAAACATCACCCGCACAGGCAGCTTCATTCCTCTGCCCTCTGCCTCCGTCCCATGCCCAGCAGGAGGCAGCTCCCTGATGGGAGACTGGTCCTGGGAGTGGAGACGGGGGAGCCACCCTGGCTGCCCTCTCTAGTGGTTCAGAGAGAGATTGGAGGGGATTCTTCCTTTTGTCTTTGTTCTCATAAACACTATTGTTCTGGCATTTAGTGTCAACCGCTCAGATATAGATATTTCCAAGCACAAGTCACTCAAGTTCTTTTTACGTGTCTTTCTTTCCAAGAAATCATATGCCTGTCTCCATCATCCTCCCATCCCACCTACCCCTGCCGAAAAAATAACCCAGGTGGTTTGTTGACCCATAGTACTCCAGCCTAGTAGAGTTAGTAGAAATAGATGCCAAGAAGGAAGCTACCCTAAGAATCTATGATCAGCAACGCAAATATGGAAGTAAATCTACCTCCAATGTGACAGGGCAAACCGGTGGGTCTGTTTTGAGAAATGCCTCAGGTCCCAGGTTGCTCCTGCTCAGGACTGATTTTCTTGAGGGCAAAAGGCATCCCATAGGACAGAAACTGTCCTATGCCAGAGACCCGGTGGCCCAATTCATTCGTGGCTCAACAATGCCCTGAATGAGTAAGGGAGCAGGTTTCCTCGTTGGCAAATTGTAGGTGTCAGTCTAGATCAGGGGTTCTCCAGCAGGGTTGATTTTGCCCCACCCCTCGTCATCGGAGGACATTTGTCAACGTCTGGAGATACTTTTGGTTGTCTCATGTGGCCCCAGCCAGGAGGAGAGGGGGTGCTTCGAGGATCAAACAGGTGGAGACCAGGGACGCTGAATGTCCTGATGCACAGAATAACCTCTTCAACCCCATTACCCACCCCCCAAATACCACAAGCTGAGGCCAAGAAACCCTGGTCTAGAAACCTCAGCTTTCAGGATTCCTCTAGAAGGAGCCCAGTTCAACAGTTTCCTATTTCCTTGGAAATAATGGGTTACCTGTGGCCCTCAAGGGGGCCACCACACCCAAGGCTGCAGAGCCCCACCTGTGGACCGCTGCCAGGTGGTAAGACCTCAGAGCAGCATTTCATTCTGGAAGAGAAGTCTGTGCACTTAATTTGATTGAAGACAGACTGTTACTCTGCTAAAAATCAATCTGCTCATCGGCCTACAGACCATCCCCAAGGAGTAACTGTTTGGTTCCAGCCTTTCAGATGTGGGCAGGTGGGACAAATCCGACAAAAAACCGTTTGCTTTCACTCTCAACAAAATCCTTGTCATGGCTTCAGTGCCAGGCCCCTCACACCTCTCTTCCTTTAGGAGAAGCTGAAGATAGAAAAACAAATGCCTAAAAGTGGCCAGAAATCATCCCACTTAGAGTTTATTTCATGTGATTTTCAGCATGCAGTGTACTTTCTTGGGAAAAAAAGTTTTGTCCCAGTTCACATTATAAATTAATTTACAAATATAGAATTGTGTTAGAAGCAATATTTATAAAAGTCCATACGATTTTTCACATAGAAAAATATCCACAGAAATTGGTTTTTGTACACACAATCTGGGGGTAGGTAGTCTCTTTGGTTGTCTTTCTCTGTAATTTTTAAAAAGTAATGGTGATGTTATTCATACCTCGATAAACTGTTTAAAAAATAATTTTTGTATTGTGTATTTCAAAATAAAAATTTAAGAATAATGCTGTGAGTCTCAGAAAAGAATACACAGGGAAAAGTTGAAATTTTTTTTACAATGTACGTGTGGTCCTTTTTCTAAAAAAAAAAAAATAAAATAATTAAATCCCCAAAGCAACAATGTTTCTATCAAAGACCCAACAACATGGTACAAAGGCAATTCAGGACATTCTATTAATCTTAATGGAGGCTGTTCCAATAAATCAACAATCATCCCCATTTTAATTAGCACCTCTTAGATTAAGTTCAAACAATGGCTGAGCTCTGGCTGGGCCCTGGGAGGGTGACCATGAACACCATTCAAATGAAGATACCTCTTGAGAAGTAAAAGGGAGTGCCAAAAATAAATTATATTAATAATTTTTCGACAACAAATGTTTTATTAAGAAACTATAAAAATTCCACTTAAAAAACTACTTTTAGTAAAATTCTAATATTTTGTTTTAAAAATGAGAAATCCAGGACACATGCTAAAAGGGCTAAGACATCAAGTTAATGAGGACCATGGTCACCCTGGACCTCAGGCACATGGTGGAAGAGGCAGAGGTGGTGCCTATCCTTGCTGCTCAGCTCAAGTGATACTTATTTCAACCAGAAATCTTTGGTTAAATGAGACCTAGTTCATTCCTACCCCTAGACGCTATGTCTGCCTATGGACAATGGCACCTTCTTTTTTTTTAGAACCAGAACAGACCCTCCAGTACTAGCTCTGGAGCCAGACTGCCTGGACCCGATCCGGCTCCACAACTTACCGTGTGACCTTGGGGGAGTCACCTGACATCTGAACGTGAGGGGTAGTAACCATACCTAGCTCCCAAGGTTGTTGTGAGGATTAAATGACCTAATACAACCTCGAGTGTCCGTCTGAAACAGCGCTGGGCACCCACGGCTCTCGGGGGCAGCTTCCCGGCTATTAGTTAGTATCTACCGGGGCCCAGGCACGGAGCAGAAGTGGAGGTGACACATGAGCTGGATAGAGCTCAGAGGACCTGTGCTGCGGTAGGATCCAGCACAGGATTTAAACTTTAATTCGTGGCCAAAAACTGCAAATGGAGGTTTCCTATAAACATCCAGATATCTGACTTCTCTAGACAAATGAGGACGCTGCCAGGCAGGAAAGTAACAAACGGCCCACAGCAGCCTTTTGCTGGTCTGCCAGAGCACCCCTTACATGCTTCAAGGGACCAACTGCTACCTCTTTCCTACTGGATCAGCTTCATTCTTTTGCTCTTTGGCCGGCCCTTGGACACATCTGAGCTCATAACCCTGCGCTACAGTGACAAACAGAACAGACATGGTCCCTGCCCTGTCCCCAGTAGAGTGAGGTGGCTTTCTCTCCAGAGAAACCTGTAAAAGCGCACGGGGCTACAGGAAGAGTTATCTACTGCTCCCATCGGGCCACAGGAGCACCTGGGCCTCCAGAGGAATGCAGAAGCCCACTTCCTGTCCCATGAAATCTGCATGTCACGAGACCTCGGGTGTGCATATTCAAGTCCGGAGGGCGGCTGTCCCAGGCTGTCCTAGACCTCGGAGCCCTCGCGGGGGTAGATGAGGCTGTTGACCATGCTGAAGTTGTAGAAGGAGCTGCTGAACGGGCTGCTCTGACCCCCGCCGCTGCTGGCGGGGAAGGGGCTGTAGTAGGAGGACCTCTGGCTGCTGCTGCCGTTGCTGGCACCGTTGCTCAGTGGCAAGCTGTCTGGTGGGGCTTCCGGGACGGAGCTGGCGGGGAACGTGCTGCTGGAGGCCAAGGGGCCCCCCTGGATCCCTAGGTGGCGGCCGGTGGGGACCGCCCGCGGGGTGCTCCCACTGCTGCTGACGCTCAGGGTGCTCAGGCTGCTGAAGAAGGTGTTGAGGCAAGGGGCGGAGGAGAGCAGGGACCCTCCAGGGGAGGAGGCAGTACTCTTGGCGCCCTCGGGGGACTCTGGGGACTGGGGCGGCCTTAGCAATGCAGGGGGGCTGTCTCCTTCGGGCTTCCCACCCACGCCGGACCCCAGTCCCGAGGAGAGCCCTTCTTCCGATTTTGCGGTCCCTGCGGCCACCGTGGAGGTGCTGCTGGCTTCGGAGCGGCGCTTGCGCTTCCGACGGAAGTTCCCATTGTCAAACATTTTCTCACAGTTCGGATCCAGGGTCCAGTAATTCCCTTTCCCTGTGGAGAGGAGAAAGGCACGCAAGTCAGAGAAGCGCCCAGCTCAGGCCCATGCAGTCAGCTTCAGTTCTGCAAGGAGCAGCACAGACTCTCATAAATTTGGACCAAGATGAAGATTATCCTTTTGGGGAGACCTTGCTCCTCACCTTCTACAAGAAATCCAGAACAAAGGTGCTCTGGCCATTTCCACCTCCCCCTGGCAGTGTCTGCTACCTAAATCTTAAGACCTAATTCTAGGCCCAAGACATTTTTATTTACCCAACGCCTTCCCCTCTGGATCCATACACTGTACCCTTGCAAAATCTTGGTGCTGCTTAAATTTGAGCCTACATTTCTTTATTTACAGAAGTAGGCATAAGGATAATGCCCATTTCATAGACTGATGCGAGGGTTAAGTGCTGTCTCCACAGAGAAGCTGGCACACAGTTAGCAGTGAAAATCACTATCTGTTATCATTGTTATTGGCTGAAAGGTACACTATTTGTCCCTAAAACAAACAAAACACACACACACACTCCACTGGAAAAAGCAACCTCGAATGCCCAATCATTTGTCTTGCCAAACAAAAATTACAAAAGTTACCACTGAGCTATCAGTCCTTTTAACAACTTGGGTAACATTGTTCATGGTACAGGAAGCTCCTGCAGTCTACATGCCTCACTCCCCCACCTTGAGCAGCAGAGGCCCTGTATCCCTCACCCTGCAGACCTCAGATCAGAGCCTCAGGTAATGCATGCAGAGCCAGTCTTCTGCTTAAAAAACTTCCCCCACTACCTAGTACAACTGAGGTAAAAAAAAGACCTGTCACTTGGAAGATTTTCTCTCAGTAACTTTTATCATTTCCAGTAAATAGAATCTTTGACATGTGAAAGCACTGCTCAGCACTTATCCCATCAAGTGCTTTTACATGGACAACTTCTGCTGCCCCTCACAGCTCTGTGGAGGCACTATCAGTGCCTCCATTTTTCAGATGGTGAAACTGAGGGGCAGACGGGTTAGTAACCTGCAGTATTCCCAGTTGGCAATGGGGATTTAAGGGATTTAAGCAGGCTGACTCTAGACTCAGCATTCTTACCTAACCACTGTATTAGGTTGCCTGCACAAACCAGCACACACCCCTCCAAGCCCATTAACTTCATTAACACATTTTTTGCAAATAGTTGCAAAAAGAAAAAATTCTTATTCATACAACTACCATCTAGATAGTAATACCTGCACCTATAAGGATATCTGATATTGGGCCCCTAAGTCCCAAAGGCTTTGACAAGACACTAGCTAAAGACACCAACTTTTTAGAAAGTCTAAAAGAATATACATGACAATGTGATAATCTCGGGTGATTCAGAGGCCAGACTGGGAAGCTGCACCTTCCAGAACTGTACGTCCTGTCCAATGCAGTAACCACTTGCCACACATGGCTGTCGGGCACTTGAAAAGTGGGTAGTCCAAAATGCCAAGTGGAATTAAACACACACAGGATTCTGAATACTTAATACAAAAAAAAAGGCATCTCAGTAAAAATTTTTATATTTGGTTTATGTTGAAACAGTAGTTTGGGTGACTTAAAAATAGTAAAAATAATTTCATCAGTTTCTTTTTACCTTTTTAAATGTGGCTACCAGAAAATTTGCCATCACACGTGATTTATAATGTATTTCCACTGGAAAGCTCCCCTCTAGAATACATTGGGGGCGGGGGGAGGGGGGAGGGAACACTCCAGAGCATTTTACACAAAATCCTGGATCTCTGTAGCATGCAACTGAAACCATTTCATTTCTCTTTTGCCCATCACACCTCTGTCCCCTACCTGGTTGCCAGAGCCTTCTGAAAACCTCAAGTATAATCGTGTTTCCCTTCTTTTTGGGTCCACTCCACTCCTTCTCAGGTAGAGGAAAACCACTCACAGCACTCCACTGCAACCCAGCCCTCCCCAGCAGAGGGCTTAGATCAGAACGCAGCAAACTTGGGGTTTTCATTTTTACATTTGGAAACGGTAAGGCACCGAAACCACAATTTGCAGGACCCCAGCTAAAGCTCTCTGATTCCTCTTGGCCTTCTGTCCCAATGCCTGTGTCACTACCCTCATAACATTTCTCACAAGGTAGGCGCTTGTTTCATGAAGGACACCGTTGATCAAGTCTTAGGAACCTGGGGCAGGAAGAAGGGCATCCAGGGACAGCCTGAAAGGCCTGCTGTTGCTCGGTCTCTCACCACCTCTTCCGTGCAATGGGATTGATTCTCAGCTCACCTGAATCCCTTTACAGTTGTCCCTTATCTAAGATCGCACGCGGGTTCTTATTGCTAACCTACCTCCCTGTGCCTTGGACCGTCCCTTCAATCGGCATGATGAACATCACCCAGGGGTGGCTTCCCGTCAGAAAATACGGTCTTTTTCCTTCTTCTCTAACTGGCCAGCCTCCGCGCTCGCGCGCGTGTGTGTATGTGAGAGCGTGTATGGGGGGGGGGTGTAGGTGTAAGGGGCGAGCTCCACCCCCACCGGCTCCCCGCTCTGAGGACCCTCTGATGGTTCCCTTTGTCCTCCGGCTTGCCCTCACCCTGGCCAGACGAGGTCGGAGGTTCGGGTGGTGATTCCCCACCCCGGCTCCCATCCCCAGTTAGAGAGGACCCTGCGTGGAGCTTCAAGTCAAGCCCCACGCCAACGCGACCCTTGCCCGCGCGCCGCTGCCCCCCACTCCTGGGCCGGGCAGCACCTGTCCGGCGCCCTCACCTGGGTCGTCCTCGTCGCGGGGCACCTTCTTGAAGCAGTCGTTGAGCGACAGGTTGTGGCGGATGGAGTTCTGCCAGCCGGCCTTGCTGCGCTGGTAGAAGGGGAAGCTGTCGGCCACGAACTGGTAGATGTGGCTGAGCGTGAGCTTGCGCTCGGGCGCGCTCTGAATGGCCATGGCGATGAGCGCCGAGTACGAGTAGGGCGGCCGCACCATCTTCATCAGGTCCTCGCGGCTGGCCATGGACAGCCAGCCCAGCTCCCCGGGCGCGGCGGGCCCCGCGGGAGAGGCGGGCGCGGCGGGCGCGGGTTGAGCGAAGGCCCGCTGCGCGCAGCCGAAGGTGCCGGCGGCGGGGGGCGGCTGCAGGAAGGGCCCGGCGGCGCCCCCGGGGGGCGGGGGAGGCGGCGGCGGGGCGCCCAGGTACGCCGCGGCGGCGGCGGCAGCGGCGGCGGCGGGCGGGCCGCCCACACCCGGCCCGTTGAGCCACAGGTAGGGGTTGGCGGCTGCGGCGGGCGGCGCGGCGTAGTCTGCCAGCCCGTAGGGCGCCCTGGCGGCCGGAGGGGCGCCCTGGGCGGCGGCGGCGGCGGCGGCAGGCGGGGGCAGGCCGGGCTGCGAGTAGACGCCGAAGTTGTCGCCGCAATAGAGAGCCATGTCGGTGGCCGTCGGCGGGTGCGGCGCGGCGGCGGCGGCGAGAGGGGAGCGGGGCAGGTCTCGCCGCTCGGGCGAGAGCATCCCTTTGGGGGCCCACCCCACGGCCCCGCCTCGGCCCTCGCAGGGCGACCGGTGCTCGGGGTGGGGGTGGGGGGGTCGGCGGCGGCGCGCGGAACGCCTGCGGTTCGGCTTCTTATAACCGTCTGCGGCGCGGCTCCTCCCGGGCGGGCCGGGAGCTGGGCGGCGGCCCGCGGGCCGGGGCTCTCCACGCCCCCGCCACGCCCCACCTGCCCGCGCACCCCGGCGGAGCGCGCCCCAGCCCTCGCGCCGCCCGCTCGCCCCCGGAGCCCCCCCGCTCCTCCCCCGGAGTCCCCCGCCCCGCCCCCGGAGCCCCTTCTCTGCCGGCGCGGGAGCCCGGGAGCCCGGGGGAGGCCGGCGCCTCCAGGTTGAAGGCGAAAGGCACCTCATTCCCAGCTGACGCGTTCTTCGCTCAGGAGAAGAAAGGAAAAAACGAATGTTGAAACCCAGAGAAGAGAACCCAAACGGTACAACTGTTTTCCAAAAAGTCCCCCAGAGGAGTTTGGGTGGCCGCGCAGACCACCTGCCTGGCCCCCTGCGGTTTTCTACCTCAAGCTTCTGCACCTTTTGTCATTGAGTTACTGGATTCCCGGCCAGTCCCAACAGATCGGCTTCTAGCCCAAAATAATAGAAGCAATTAACAACTCTCTGGGGTATACGGTAGATTTTATTACCCGGCATCCTTGGAGTGTCCCCTTCTCCCTCGGGGATTCTGTGACGGGAGGGACTGAAATCGGTTTTTAATTTTTCTAACCGTGTCTCTAAACACATAACTATACGTTCGTTCACATTCGGCAAGTATTTGTTCGTTTTAAGTCCGGTTTGTGCAGTCCTTTGGTGTGATTTGTTTTCTTCAAAAACAGAAGGGCGTGTGTTTTCAGAGACATTTAAATAAGTGGGTTCGGAATTAGCATTTTAAAGCCAACTGTAATTTAAACTGTGCCAGAAGGGCTCATTTACAAAAATGGTCTCAACGAATTATGGCACAGGACTTGCTTTCTACTTTTCTAAGTTTTGAAATGCGGTTCCTCCCTGGAAAAACAAGCGAAACAGGTAAAATACTGTGGCGACCCCACGTGCCCCGCAATCGTTATTTATTCTCTCCGAACAATAATAAGAAAATTGTTTCTCTTACAGTTTAAAATTATTCCTAAATGTGTTCTTAACAGGTGACAAGTCTGAGAATTTCACTTAAGCGGGAAGAGAAGGGGGGAAAGCGCTTTTCTGTTTGCCAACTGCAGACGGAGAGTTAAGAATATTTACTAATTCGGAAATCCACCCCCCAACTCCGCATTTATTTTCGTGTTATAAATTTAGTTATGTACTTTACAGAAAACTATTATCTTCTGTTACCTCGTTCCTTAAAAAATGACATCCAGAGATATTTAACTAGTAAATCGTGATACCTAAAATGCAAACCACGGTTCAAATGTAACTATTTTTCTTATCTTTTCTGGAACCAGAGAAGAATTATTCTCACCTCAAAATTTAGGGCGCTGTTTCTTTCAATCTCTTGGCAAATGCTATAGAATGGAATAGTGTTTGTTTAAGGGTCTAAATTTTCTTTATGTAGATAAGCACGGTGTTGTGGATTTTTTTTCCCCCTCCTTCCCAAATAGTCTCAAATAAGGTGGTTTTGTGACTTCTCTTAGGATGTTAATAATGATGACAACTATAACCCATGAAATTTGAAAGCAATTTTTTAATAAGTTATAATGCCCCAATTTAACGTTTGTTCTTAAGTTTAAAGGTCTAAATATAAAAGAGAAAGTCCAAAAGAAAAGCTAGGAACCGAGATGGCAATAAATTAGAAAACATTTCTAATTTATTTCATATGTCATTACGCCTATCACACCTTCCCTTATTTTTTAACAAATTGCTTGTGTATACATACTTTGCAGTTTTTCAGGATTGTTGTTTTGTTGTTTGTCTAATTCTTAACCCAGTAGCTCCAAATTATTCTGAGTAAGAGGCCATGATTGCAGATTATTGTTTCTTGCTTTGATTAAAGGTTCTAACTACTAGTTATTTTTGTTCCTCAACTACAGTATTATCTTTAGCGGACTTTAGTTTTACTTAAAAATGACAGAGCCACCTAGCGGCTCTTTGCCTCTGTTACAGCAGACATCTGGCAAGGATTTGTAAGGTAGACACCCCCTCTAGGGTTTGGAAGTTTTACTTTTCTGTTTTCAATCACGTCTTAATTAGATAAGCTTAAAACTATTATTGGTCAATAGCCTGGGGCTTTTCAATGTCAAAGTTAAAATAATTTTTAATCTCTATTTTTTAAAAAAGGATTTATTTATTTGAGAGAGAGTGGGGGAGGGGCAGGGGAGAGGGAGAATCTCAAGCAGTTGCCCACTGAGTGAGAATCCGACTCTGGATTCAGTCCCATGACCCTTGAGATCATGACCTGAGCCGAAAACAGGAGTCGGAGGCTTAACCAACTGAGCCACCCACGTGCCCCAATCCCAATTTTTTTAAATTAAATTTTAAACATTTGGTGTACTTAAAAAAAAAAAAAAATCAACAGGATAAAAAATGTGCTTGAAATGCAAGCTCCCCATAATAAGACTTTGTCACATTGCCTTTTCACAAAAAGATGAGTCAAGGCTATTGATTAATGCTTCTTTGCCAATGTGAAATAGGGAGGTTATCACATGTTTCCATCACTGGCAAATAAAATGCTTGGGGAAAGTATGATAAGAGGTAAACTCTGGTGCCAGTGGAGATGAAAAAGGAAACAGAGGAGGTGAGCAAAGAACTCAAGAAAACTCAAATTGTAACTAGAGAATATAGTTTTGGGAATCATGGAGAGAGGATAATACTACCACATAAGCCAAAATATAGAAGATTAATTAGTGCATTTATTATTTTGGTGATTTAAGAAAGGATGTTGAGGGGCATCTGGGTGGCTCAGTCAGTTAAGCATCTGCCTTCAGTTCAGGTCATGATTTTAGGATCCTGGGATTGAGCCCCACATCATAGGGCTCCTTGAGGCCTTCTCAAATGAAGGCTGCACACCCCCCCCACACTTCCTTCCTGGGGGCTCAGGGGGTGTTCAGTCCCTGCTCTCACACATTAGCTGGTGGCTCATCCCACCCTTTGCCCCCTCATTTCCAATCACCCAACTCCTGCTCCCCAAATCTGTCACCCACTCTCCTGGGTGTTCTGGAGGATAGGGACTGTGTTATTCCCTGCTCCCTTTCTTCCAGTTCTAACAATTAAGGAACACGGACCAAATACCTAACTTTGTGTTAAGCCCCTTACCTGCAACATCTCACTGAATTCTCATAGCCATCCTGTGAAATAAGAAAGAAACCATATTTTATGGTTGAAGCCACAGAGAGAAAAGTTAAGTAATTTACCTGTGGTCTCCCAGCTTCTAAGAGTGCAGCTGAGGGGCCCTCTGAGAATCGCGCTCAACCGTAACTGCCTCCTGCATTATTTCCCCAGAGCCTGGTCCAGTGCCTGACTTTGGGGCATGCTCAATTATCGTGTGCTGCTTGAATAAATTGAAGAGTTAAAAACCGTTAGATGGTATCAGCTCTATACACCATAGATGGTGTAATCCCTGGAACATTAAATGGTGCCACCTCTTACCCTCTCTCTTTACAGGGGCTCTCATCAAAGGCAACCACTTGCCAGCAGTGTCTTATGCTCTCCTCCAGAAAACATTTCGAGGTACTTACTGGTCTAGCTCTGTATGCATTTAAAAATGTCCAAGAATGGAATCTGTGTTACTCACTTGGCTCTGCACTTTCTCCTTGCATTAATATATTTTGAAGAACCTTCAAAAACAGCCCATATTTCCATATGTCTACCTTGTTTTGTTCATTTGGTGTTCCCTTTCCTAGGATATTCAGTGGGGACCCACCAGTATGGCTGTGTAGAAAGTTTCTAGCCTGTGTCTGTTCTAAATTGGGGGTGCCCCTCTGGACCTGTTAGGCAGTATTTTGAAAGTAACCTACTTTTGATGGATCTCTGGATTATTTCTTCTTTTTTTTAAGTAAGCTCTGCACCCAACATGGGGCTTGAATTCAGAACCCCGAAATTAAAAGTTATATACTCTACTGACTGAGCCAGCCAGGTGCCTCAGGATTATTACCTTTAAAAAAAAAAAAAAAAAAGATGACTTAATTTACTTGTGATAGTAAATTCCTTGCTGGGATTTGCTGGGTCACAGGATATGTACCTTTAAATGTTTGATTCTGACAAATTGCTCTGCCACAAGGTGGCCCAGTTTATACCACCCCTAGGTTCCCCACGGATGCCTACTTCCCTTCACCTTGGCTAAGGCTGTATTTGTTCAGTTCTTTTGATTTTTGCCAATCTTAAAAAGCACAGAGACATATTTTGAAAAAAATGAAAAATGAAAAAAAAATTCCCTTATGAATGAATTTAAGTACCTAGTCATTTTATTTTATTTTTTTTTTAAGGTTTTAATTTATTTGAGAGAGTGAGCAAGCAAGAGCCAAGGGGAGGGACCGAGGCAGAGAGAGAAGCAGGCTCCCTGCTGAGCAGGGAGTCAGGTGTGGGACTCAAGCCCAGGACCCCCGGATCATGACCCGAGTAGAAGATAGATGCTTAACCGACTGAGCCACGCAGGTGCCCCTTTAATTTCTTTTATATGAATTGCCTGTCGTGATCTTTCACGCATGTTTCTACATTTTTAAAAAGTGAATGTTTCTGAGCTCCTTGCAATTAAGGACATGAACCCTTTTTACTCAAAGGTGTTGCAAATCATTTCTTCGTTAAAACTATCTCTTCTCTCGGTGTATGCCATAACACATTGTCCTGGTTTTCTTTCTTTCTCTTCTGTATCTACCAAAAGGACAAGTTTCTCATCTCATTCTTGGAATATGGTTTTTTGTTCCCTCAGATTCCGAACCTTGGCCCTCTTCTTTTCCTCTATACATCCT